TGATCTGGGTGGATATGTTTACCGGATACGTGATAGCCAAAGCTAGGGCGTCTAGAACTGCGAAAACCATTGCTGAATCGTACGAGGAGTGCGGTTTTCGGAGATTTGGAGCTAGTGAGATGATTCGGCATGATCGGGAGCCAGGTTTTATGTCCGACTTCTTTCGAGCCTTCAACCGGATCCTGGGGCAGCGACAGCGGGCGACTATGGCATATCGTCCCCAAGCCAATGGATCGGCCGAACGCATGATACAGACGATCACGAGGGCCCTCAAGATGTATGTTCAGGACTTGGATCAGAGGGATTGGGATGCGTACGCAGAACGACTCACCTTCGCAATGAACACCGCCCAGGACAGGATCCGTGGTGACACCCCCATTTTACTTGGTACATGGGTGGTCTCCCAAATCCACCCTAGAAGCCGCCATTCAGGTATGTAGTACCAAGAAGAGAAACCGAGATTCAAGACGATGGCGATACCAAGTCCAGAAATACAACCGGCAAGCCAGATCCCAAGTGAACGAACGGTTACGAAGTCCGATACAAGATCGAGCGGGTCGACACAACGAAGACGCCCGTCCACATCAAATCCAAGTGGGATCGCAGGTGTGGCTTTATTTATATCGGGTGAAGGAAGGGTACGCCCGCCAATTGGCCCATCTATGGCACGGACCGTTCCGGGTGAGCGAAAAGATAGGGGAACATGCGGTGAAGTTGGAAACGGCAGGTACCGAATATCGCTTGTTCCCTGTAGTACACGTATCCAAGCTGAAGTTGGTCAGGGAATATCCGGACCGGCCGCAAACCCGTCTTTCGGTGGATGAATCCGACCGGCTGGATTTCGACGAAGTCCTCTTACCGGAGGATAGTTGGAATGTGGACCTCGAGGCTGATGAGTTTAAAGTCGAGAAGTGCTTCGACATGAGGTCAGGGAAGCGAACCAGATACGGACGGATTTACCGCGAATTTCGGGTGTACTGGCGTGGATATGACGAACCCAGTTGGGTAGACGAGGCAGCTCTGAGCTGTGGAGCATTACTCTATGATTTCCTGCGGGATCGTATGAATCGGAACCGATTCGGCGTGATGCAGTCTCATGAAGAAGAGTAGGAAGGGGATCCATGGATGTGAGTTGGTCATGTCGATGGGAGGATGGAGAAGGACCCACAGGAAGGGTGTGGGCCAGGAGGAGGAGGATCACTGATGTGAGCTGGTCACGTCGGAAAGAAAGAGAAGACGCATCCATAAGAGGGGTGTGGATCAGGAGGAAGGAGTGAATGTTTATGCATAAAGAGTGACGTTTTACGTGCGAAGAGTCCTGCATGATTTCAAGCGCGAGATTGTTGAGAGCCCGAACCGTACTAGTCTAATTGAGACTGGGTCGTAGGAGCTCAATCCGGGCGAAATCCAAGCGTGGATCCAACCCGGACCCAGGAATTAGCTCAGATCCAGGTGTACGCTGAAAGGGTGGATCCAGACCAGATCCAGGCGTATGCTGAAAGGGTGGATCCAGTTCAGATCCAGGCGTACGCTGGAAGGGTGGATCCCGCCCAGATCCAGGCGTATGTCGGAAGGCTCTGACATGACACCTCAATCAACAAGAGAATGTTAAAGACATATTCAAGTAAGGAAGAGTGGATTAGAATAGCTTATGCAAAAAGGCTAGCTCGACCCAGTTTCCATTCGCTAGTTACTACTACGAAGCGAATCCACGAAGACTGAAACTGGGGGCGTGGCGTGAAAGAACGATAGGGATCAAGTGGTCTTGGGCTGAACGTTGAAGAACTTGCCCACCAGACGCTGGATCTGGTGCCCTGGGTGCTGGCTCGGGTCCACGCCAAGGCTCAGCTTCATCGATCTCTTGAAGAGCCTCCAGTAGGTTCGTGGGTCCTGGGCGGTGGAGGTTGGGATCCTCCAAGTTGGATTGACGGGATACGGATCACGGAAACCACGTTACCTTATCCCCACGTCGAGGAAGGTGCAAGAAAGATGGATCCAACAGAATATCCACGTCACACCAACCGTCCTGGATCACCAACACGAGGATCACGAGAACCTTCTTCCAAGTCCGACCGGCGTGACTGCGTCTGTTGCCGCGCTGTTTGTTGAAGTTCGACAACCATGTCGAACCCCGCAGTTGGGTGCGAGAGACAGGGAACCGATGGGTGTCTTCCCATATGGCAATCCGGTGCTTGGAAACGAAATCCCGGAAGGCACGAACGAATAACCCGAGACGCCCGCGCACGTCACTTCGGAAGCTAACAGGATCCACTAGTGTGGTCGTCAGCGTATCTCATGGGGCAGTGTTGCGCAATTCTTCCACATGAGGGCTTGTGACAAGCGAATCCACGTACCCGGACGTCGGGATGACATCCGCGTCACGAGGGAATATCCACTCAGCGCGGAACGGCAGCTGAGGGAATTGGACGGTGATCTTCATCGTGACGATGGCGACCCGATTCAGCTTCTTGGCGGACCAAGGCTCGATATCTCTTGTAGCCAAAACCACAGGGTGTTGCCCTGAAGCTTGTCCATTCAAGGACAACAGTTCATGGAACGAGAGGGCTGTGTCCCGGTGGGTTCGAACCACCGACCTGTGGCTCTCAAAGCCAACGCACAACCGTTGAGCTAAATAGGTGTTGCCCTTAAGCTTGTCCAAGCGTGAACAATCGTTCATGGAACGAGAGGGCGACACCCTTGTGGGATCGAACCACCGACCTATCGCTTGTGAAGCGAGTGTTCAACCGCTGAGCTGTTGTCGACGACTCGGATGAGTCAAGAGCAAATCTCTAAGCGGTTTTTCAGCTCTTGGAGTAGGCGCGGAGCGCGAGCGTAGGTCTAAGACCGCTTGAGAACAAGATGCGCGGTGCGCTTTGGATCATTGGGACGTGGGCGGACGACGCGAAGCTGGGCATCAACGATGCGTAGGCGTTTGTGAGCTCGCGGAGCTGTATAACGCTGGTGTGAAGAGTAGTAACCTCCGCCGTCTTGACAAGACGTGTCCTTGCTGAGGAAATTTCGAGAACGGAATGTTCTCATCTTAGTGGGAGAGAGTGTAACGGGATTACATGGTGTGGGACACACAGGGGGTACGGTGTACCCGGAGAGCTAACAAAATATCAGTACATAAGTCAGAGAGCTAACATAGTTTCTCAGTACGTTGGCTTAAAGCCACACGTTATGTATTTGATTAGATTTAACTATGCTATATAGTTAAGCATATACATACACCCCTAGGCGGCGCAGCCGCAATAATAGTAAATAAAACCCTTCTGGTTTTGAAGCATTAAAAATTAAGGTATTAACTTTGAGCCCTGGTCTAGGGCTGTAAGCTCCTTTGGATAAGGAACTTAGTATTAGTGACTCTTTCAGTGGACATTCTTCCTCTGACGCTAAAGCTACGGCAGCCCCGCTGTCCTCTTGCACCCCGCTCCAACCGGTTCACAGCAGCCGGACCCGACACAAGCTGCTCGTCCACACCGCCTTCAAGACTGCGGTCGAAGACTCTCTCTTCTTCTTTGTCACTAAACACTTCTCTCTCGACCATCGTCGATACTGTCAATTACCAATACTTGTTCACTCCAAATTTCTCTACTTCTCTTCCTCGCACCAATTCTTCTGCGCGGCACCAACGACAATTTCTCCACACTTCAGCTGAAACAGGAGGCTTACTTGTTAGTCACCGTACGACGGCCTTCAACACCTTCCTACTGGTGGGCCTTGGCTTGAGAGGACAGCGTCCACGATCCAGTCACAATCTTCTCACCACTCACATGACGGTTGAAGCTACTTCACAGCGCAAACAGTACCCTGCTTCTCCACCACGTGTCACGAGTCGCCCTGGAACGGGACGCTTGCGCTGATCAGCGGCAGCGACCTCTTGACGTGCAGTAATCCAAGTCGACACAATTAGCAAAAAAATAATATAAAGCCAAATGTATTAAGTCAACTCGGGGTTTCCAGGCAAAATTCCCGAATGACCAAACTCACCTCGCCACAATGTCACCCGTACTGTAATTCTACTCAGTCGAACCGCACGTCAGCACGTCCTTGCGTGGTGTAGTGATTTCTCCAGATAATCGCCCATCGGCAAAGATACGGCACCGCCCAAGATGTTCAAGCGACGAACCCTCGGTCACGTGATGTACGGTGACTCCAAGGTGCAAGTGACTCGACGGCGCCACTACCGAACTCTCAAAGGATATCGGATACGATCCATATGTTACTGAATCCAGGCTGTCCTTATTATAAATAATGGACTGGCCGGATTCGCATTCAGCGGACCATCTACGGTACGAACCCTCGGTGGCGGTTGGGATGAGTTCGCGGAAGACTCAGCGACCCTTTGAAGGCACGTTCGCCGTCTGGGACAAGGCGCGAGCCGTTAAAGATGCTCGTGCGACGGTGCAGACGACGCTTGGCGTGCAAGAAGATCCATAACGGAACATTGTTCACTTGATATTTGTATACTTGATTGGGACTTCTTATTAGGAATAGACCCGAAAGGGTAAGCTTAAATACAGAACAGAATTTCCACTCAAGCACACAGAGCGACGTCCGGCTTCAAGGTAAGCGTCTGGTCAAGCTTGCTTGAGTGTGTTATGCCTGTCGGTGAGCTCGAAGCTCTGTAGCGAGGGTTCATCCGGCAAGGCCAAGAGACTTTGTGTATTGGCCGATTATTATCGGGAGGTTTTTACGTGACGGCTTATTGTTGCCTATTTGCACGACTGGGTGTGCTTGTATTGCATCCCTTTTATTCTTCCAACCGAGTGTTGAACACTCGGTGACCTCGTAAAAGGCTTACCCGTGCCTGGTACCCTGGGACCACGAGGATCCATAACACCTACTAGCTTTGCTCGTGCTAGTAGCATGTTCTTATTTTTACTGGTTGGCCTACATAAGTAGTGTACATGGTCTAGTTTGTCCCGGTGCAAGGGCAGAACTGGGGTCTTCAGGTCCGCCCGAACGGTCGTTTACTATCCTAGTAGACGTATTGTTGTGGGAGCGTCCTAACTACATTTGTAGCTAGAGTTCACGTGGGAATTCCAACACAACAACTGGTGCCGCGACCTGGGAACAGATTGTGACCATTGTGAACTGTTTGTATGGCCTTCCAGTTTACGAGCTACCAAGAGAAGAAGAAGAAGAAAAAGAAAACAAGAAACATGCCGAAAGGACAGCCGACGGTACCAGTTACGCCTGCCAAGTCTGGCGTAGCCGCAACGAGAGTTCAAGCCCGGCTGCGCGTTTTGCAGCCGCCACCGAGCTTTCGGTGAGCTTTGACGACGAGGCAGAAATCGGTCCTGACGCCCATGATTATGAAGATTACGAAGACAAGACGCCGGCTCCAGAGCCAGGCGCAGCAACACCGGAGACGACCACGCTATCATCGGGGCTAAGCGGGACAACCAGGTCCCTTTCGAGGAACCTCGCCGACCAGCTAGATGACGTTGCGGGACCGGAACCGGCCTACAAAGATTATGACGATGAGACCGAGGGTTCTAAACCTTCAGGGGTGAGTGCAAAGCATTCAGCATTGCTGAAAGCACCTCGCCCACATATCAACGGTGATACACCAGCCGCAAGCGCGTTTTCGACCGCGTATAAGCGTTGATGTAGAATGATGAGTGGATGCAGCTGTTCAAGCCCATCCCCAAGAGAAAGGCCGACTGGCCTGCGCTTGCGCAGGAACTTCAATACCCACTCAACTCGGTGTCGACTAGTCAAGTTGCCGAGAATTCAGTTTCGCTACTGATGTCGCTGGGCTTCGAGAATGAGACGTATCCATCGACGATGTCGCTTCAAAATTGGCGTCCTCATGAAGCCGGAGCTTCTCTCCAGAAATGGAAGAAGAAGCTTCGGAAGGCGTTTGGCGCCGTTGGCATCAACGCCGGAAAACAGCCTGTCAGTCGACCGATGATTCAAGAGGAAGATCCGTCCACGATTCCACTGCCGCCGACACCCCAACGACTCGTTCGTACTCCTCCGACCAAGCGTAGAGCTGAGCGTGGTGCCTTCGGCACTACCAAAGCTTCACCGTACTTTCAAGACTCGCACATGGTTACGCCACGTTCGGAGAGCCGTATGCAACGTATTTACGCTAGTAACGAGGGTTCGTTCGGTCGCCGAGGCGGTGCGCGAGCTCCCAAAGGTGGTGCCGGACGTCGCCAAGTCGACAGCGATGGTTCGTCCAGTGACGATGACATTTAGGTGCGTACATTCGACGAGGAAGATCCTCAAGTCGGGTTGATGCGTCAGATGAATGAGCTGGCGACGCTGAACGACGTGGACCCTACACCGAGGATTGAAATGGCGTCGCACCGACCATTGGATCGTATCACGCCGTTCTCAGGCTCTCGCAACAAGAGCGAGAACTGTATGCAGTGGCTTCGTTGGTTCGTCTATGAAATGACTGGAACCCACACAGATGCCGACAAATGATGCATTCCATTTGAGCTTAGTCTCCGGGACGGAGCCATTCATTGGTTCCGTCAACTTCCGAAGAAGACGAAGCGCAAGTGGAAGCTGCTAAGCGATGCATTCATCCGCTACTACTGCTCGCAGTTCACGCAGACGGCACTATCACGTTACTACTCTGCAAAGCGAGAACTCAATGAGCATCGGTGTGACTACATAAACAGGCTGAATGGCTACGCTCGGACCGCCCGTCTACATTTCGAGAAGAGTGGTCGCGACGCGAAAGAACACGTACAGCAGTTCCTGGCAACATGCGATGATGACAAGCTAGCAGAGCGTCTCTACCATGCTCGAGTCGCCGACATTCACGAGCTCGAAGAGATCATCGAAGATGTTCTCAAGGGCAAGGAGAGAATGACCAAGCGTGACAGGACCGTCGCCACAATGACAACCGCAACAAACCAAGAGTGACGCTCATTGAAGCCACGGTGGACGACCTACTAGCTGAATTAGAAGGACGTGAAGCTGCTCAAGGCGGCACCGAGTATTCAAACGAAGATCCGAACGCTTACAACGATGTCCAAGACGAGTACAACGACTTTCAGCCCGATAATACGGATGTTGATTTCTCATTGGATAAAAATGACCGATACCTCGCCGCGGCTAACGAAAATGAGCGCCGTGCAGCTGCTGAAGGCACCTACGCACGTTCAGACAACCGTCAACCGCGCGGAAACACGCCTGATCGCGAGAATGGCTTCAATCAAGATCGCCGGAGTGGTGACCGTGGGTTCAATCAGGACCAACGCGGTCGACGTGACTTCAACCGCGACAACCGACGCACACAGTATGGACCATGCGCGGTGTGCGGTGGCATGAGTCACTCCGCCCACTACTGTAACAAGCGATGCAAGTTCTGCAAACAACTTCACGATGCTGGACAATGCGAACTTTTCCGCAACTTCCAAGACCTTGCCAAGTTCGTGCGCACTAAAGGCACGAAGGAGGAACTCCCGCCAGAGCTCAAGGCCGTCGTTCAAGAACGTCATTTAAACTAGGCAGCCCGCCAACTACAACTGGGTTGGTCCCTATCTGGCTGCCACAGTTAACCGAGCCTTCAATGGAAGCAGAGTGTATCTTTGCTTTCATGGGGCAGAGTGAATGGCCTGATAAATACGTAACAAGTGTGAACGCGACGGAAAATGAAAAGGAGAGGAGAAG